ATGTAGACAACTTTTCTGACAAAATAATAAACAAACTACAATAAATTGGAGATAGTCCGTGTGAAATATGTGACAGCTCCAGTGTTGATTACTACAAATTATGCAGAGTATAATGATTCTTGAATTAGATTTAGATATACTGATAGGCAAATGTTATAAAGGTGCTGCTGTAGCTTGTTATGAGCAGAACATTTAAGAACTGTATTTGTATAAATGAACATTGATTTTTTTTTGTTATTCAAAAACTATTCTATTAACCAATAAATTATTTAAAAAATTTATCATATTATATATTATATCATAATGTTTTAATTTTTTATTTACTCATGTGCTATATAATTTCAAAGCATAATATTGATATATTTTAAATAAACATACATTGCAGATGTTCAAATTGTATGGTTTTGATTAGTAAATTTATTAATCAAGCAATTAACAATGAATATATAAGGTTGATTCTTCATTTAAAATTCCTTGAATAATAAAATATAAATTTCTATGAGTAATTTGTTAAAATTATTTAAAGTAAAAGTAACATCACGAAAATTATATTGAAATATTCAAATGAAAACCATAATAGTGATTGTTTTGTGTATTTTGTTTTGTCCTTCATTGAAGACACAAGGTAAATAAATCGTCTTTTTTTTTTATAAAAAATGAATTATTTCAATTGTTTTAGAGTTCACAATATTATTAAAATAGTTAAAAAAATAAATCAGTAAAACGGAGTTATAAATAGATTGATTTTACAATAATTTGTGTAATTTTATATATCTATTTGCTAGTAAAAATACCTTGATTTACATCTTCAATATCATTTTTAATCAAAATCTGAATCAAGTTGGTGCTTTAGTATGGTCTACAAACAACAATTTTTAATAATTTTACAATTAATTGAGTGCAAAAATTTAGTCAAAACTACAAATCTTACACTAAAAAATTTATTTTTTTTGTTGAAATTCAAAAACTATATTATTTATATACATCTAAAATTTTCTTTAGTTTTAGTTGAACGTCGATCAAAAAAAACGTATGCTCTGTCAAAAAGCTAAATAAGAGATTGCTCACATTTTTATTATACTATAATATTAAAAAAAAAAAAAAAGTTGTGATTAAATCTACAAAATTTTTCATAAATATTTGTAGTTGTAATTCGGTAACGGGTCATTTCCCCGTCCCCATTTCACCGTCGAACATTTCCCCGTAAACACTTCCCCGTAAAATATTTTTCCGTCTAATACGTTTTCCCGTGCGACATTTCCCCGTCCCCGTAATTTGTAAAATGTTGTTAATTAATAATAATAATAAAAGTATATAAATAATAATATTAATAATAATAAAAATTTTGAGAAATAATTATAATAAAAAATAATGCTATTGGTATACGTTATTACAGACACATAAAATAATTTGTAAAATGTTATTTAATAATAATAATAAAAAATATATAAATAATAATAAAAATTTTGAGCAATAATTATAATAAAAATTAATGCTACTGGTATACGTTATTACACTATTACAGACACATAAAATAATTTGTAAAATGTTATTTAATAATAATAATAATAATAAATATATAAATAATAATAAAAATGTATATCCTTCTTTTGACGAAGAAATGTCTAACGGGGAAAATCGCTGGACGGGGAAATATTGGACGGGGAAAGCGTAACGGGGAAATGTCTAACGGGGAAATGTATTACGGGGATTCGTCCATGAATCTTGTAATTCAGACGATTAATTTAGAAACTTAACAGAGAACAATGATTTTAGATATTTCGTGGTAATTCAAAAATATTGAGACTTGACATTTTTACTTATATGATTACCAGATTACATTTTACGATACGTAATGTAATTTTCGAAATATTTAGATTCATTAGGCTAATACAACTCTGATCAGAATCATTTTTTGTATGGAGTTATTTATCTTTGATTTAATATTAAACACGTAAATTACATTTAACTTATCAATGATGAGATACATCTAACACCCACTGAACAGCAGAATAGTTAACAGCATATTTTTTTTTAAATAATAAAAATAATTATATTTTCTCTTCGTGTATTATTGGATTAAATCAATATGTATACATGTTTTTAAGATGAGCGGCCAAGCGAAATAATTTGTTCTATAGCTGGAAATGTCTGGGTCAGTACTTATAAAGTCAATGTATCCGAAAAACCAGATGGGTGTGATGTAATTAGTATGAGTCAATATTCTTTTGACATGCATAATGGTATAGATAACCATATACCCGAATCAGATAAAGGTAATAATTATGAAGAGCTTTAATACACAAATATATAGTAGTGAGACTGATTATCAAATTTCCATTCTTTGTATTTAATTTAAGCTATTTTTGAAGACATTTTGTTTGGAAATTAATACTTATGGAAATTAAAGAGCACTTACATAGCAATCTTTTCAACATATTTAAACAGGAAAATATATAAATATTTTCATAATCTAAAACAAAATTATGCGTTAAAATTTTTTGCATTAATTAAAAATAAAATAATGTAGTATTGACTAAATGGAGTGAATGATGTATTACAAACGTTATAACTAATATCATGATAATAAAGTTAATGAATAATAAATTAATAAATTATCATTTAATATTTATTTTTCAATATTTATCAACACTTGTAACTTGTAAGTGGCTTAAATAAGTAGCAACAGCTAAAGAAAATATAAGTGTGAGCATTCAAAAAAAGATATTTAAAACAAAATAAAAACAAATTAATTATGATCAAATGATAAATATTGTTATATGATGTATTATTTCTACCGGTAAGACATTAAACTATTAATACTTGTTTAAAGATATGAAATAGATAACGATGGTTCGCGGTAACGTAAAAATGAATACAGTAGTTTCTTATATATTAAGTACTATAATTTAGAACTATTCAAAACATATAAATTCATTATTTATAAAATAGAACTCATATTAAAAGTTGAATACTGTATCTAAATATATTAAAATTCATATGTTTAAAGGTGTATTAAGAGCCTTGAATAAAGCTAATAAAGTTGTTTATACACAACTTGGATTCATTTATAATTATGATTGGCCCTCAATATTTGTTCCTAAGGATGAGGAACAATATAAGAAAGTAATAATAGGTCCATTAGTCAATTTTTTAAATTTTTATAAAATTAGTGGTCTTCTCTTGAATATACGTTGGATTTATGTGAGTAAAATAGAAGATAGTTTAATTAAACAATAGTTTTAAAACTCTTATATCATTAATACATATGATTTGATTTTGAAGATGTAAAAATTCTTAATTTTTCAACTAGAATACAACTACCCTAATTGTTATGATCAAATTGATTTCAGTTGGATAATATTAGTATTACAGGGGTGGTAAAAAAAGTTGTGAATTTCTCGTACTTACTTTTATAAATTGTATTTGTAAACTAGTTTTTTTATATAATAATATATAAAATATCCGAAAACAAAAATTAAATATTTCATCAATTTTCGAAAGGTTGTTTTATAAGATTATTATTCGATCAGAAAATATATATTTCTAAGTTATCTTTATTTTCTTTCATTCTTTTTTGGCTTTTATTTTATTAGTGTTGTAAAATAATCTTTAACATATAATATGGTATTGAAATTTCAGTATTTGAGTGTACCCATTATTTAAAGTTCTCTGATCACATGTATCAATTAATGATTGCTATATTTAAATGTCTTGTGACACATAGCCATATAATTCTATTTCATTGTTAAAAATATCTAATCAAAACAACATAAAAAAAATTAATGTATAACATAATACTAGTATTGTTTTGATTGATTGGTATAACTTTTTTAAGGATGTCATGGACAATTTTCCCCAAAAAATAAGTACATTCATTAGTCAAGTCAAACAACAAGTAAAACATAAAATAGTATTTGGTTTAGTCGTAGATGCAATGACCTATGGAAGCTTTAATAATACTACGGGTAAGAAAATTATACTTATATCAATATTTCAGAGGACAATAAATTATTGTTATCTTTTATGTTTATGTAAATTGTTTCTTTACGTTCTTAAAGGTTTTGATTTTACAATAACAAATAAAGTGTTGGATATTTATTTAATTGACTATACACATTTAAACAATTTTTGTGATTCAGAAGTTAAAAATTATGGTATGACTCCAGTCAATAGTCCAAGTCCTAATTTGACGAGTATGGTAGGTGCTTGTTCTTAAAAATAATAAAATATTTCAATTTAAAAATACTACATTATTTACGAAATATTTCAGGAACAAGTGACTTCAGCTGTAACGAGTTCAAAAATGGATGATTCAAAAATTTATGCTATGTTAAAGGGTTATGTGAGGATTCCAGATGATCAACCGACAATAATTGATAAGCTAATTACATCGTATTCTGTGGTATGATTAATTTTATACTGTAGATATAAAAGTTTAAGAATCAACTTTACCTAGAATTAGTGTTTATATAAATATTTAATTTTTGTTAATACTAATTTAATAATACCAAATTGTGAATAATGATAAGAACATAGTTTTGCACCCGTAAAAAAAAGATATGGAAAAAGATTTTTAATAACTGTTTATTAAAAAATTAACAATTTCACACTCACATTTTTAAAATAATATTTGAAAAATTTGTTTTTTTTTTTTTTGTTGGATGAAGAAGAAATTGATGATTAGTTTTAATAATAATTTAAGTTTAGATGAAGTGGAGTTAAATATTTTGAAGTATTACTGTGTCCTTTAACTGATTATATACTTAAGAGAAAAAAACATTTTTATGTAAAAATATATATTGTCTTTACGTTTGTTTTATACAATTGAAATTAAGGTAATTCAATTAGCAATCCTTTTTTATCAAACTTCATATAGCAATAAAACATGAAAACACTTAATATATTTGTCTCCATTACACAGACAACAGTTTATTTTTAGTGAAATATATTTTTAGTAAGGTTAAAATATGTCTTTGTCTTAAAATTTTATGTTTTTATGTTTTTACACTGAAAATCACTGTTTTGTTTTTATTTCAGTATTGTAGCACCCATACAAAAAATTCATCTCTCTGGTGTCAGAACCCTTCACAGCTTTTATTTGATCAAGTAAATATATTTAAATCTTATTTAATCTCTGATTATAGAACGAAATTTAGTCATAAAGACAGACAAATCTGATACACGCATGTATAAAGACAGATGGCAGGATACGATACAGAATTTTAAGTTGGAAATAGGTGTATAAAAAATCTTCTAGGTTCGATGATTTACTTCGTATAATTGTTGAATAACAGATACCACTTTTGATAATTGATACATTAGTATTAAAGTAAAATCTAGCCTTGATTATTCCTTTTCTGACAACCCTACAAAATCTGATCCATTCCCGTTAAAATTTTGAATAAGTAAGTAAATTTGTGTGATCCTATTTTAAGCAATAATTTTAAAATCCTTTTGTTTTATTTTAGATCGAGAAAAATCAATTGAAATGTTTTACCAGGGGATGGATATTTTCATCTTTGGTAATGTAGTTTAGACTTTGAGCAAACAGTAATGCTTCATACTGCGCGATGTTTGATGCATACAAAGAAGTTTCCAATTTTCCGATTTTCAATGCCCTAAATATAGACATAATAGAGAGAAAAATATTCTTTATTTTTCCTTTTTGATGTGGGTTTCATAAATCATAATTAAGCTATTGTTACATAGCACATTAGTGAGGTATCTGAGGCCTAAAAGTTGAATTTCTGCTGAATATTTTGGCTATCGATTTGCATTGGAAAATTAAAGGTACCGCTATTAATTTTTATAAGGTTTTCTTCCAGATTAATGAGAGATAGATGGAGAGAGCAATGATTCATCAAAAATCAAATTTATGTTACTGCTAACGCACCAATTCTATCTAACAAACGAGTTATAATTGACAGCACTCCGCGTTTTGAATTTTTTATCCTAAGCATGGTTAAATGATAGTCGAAATTAAATTTAAAGCATAATTTTCGCAGAAATTTTGTCTAAACTCGGGCTGTTCTATCATTTTATCTTTTCAATGTGGAAGATAAAAATGGTATAATTCAATCGGCATATTAACGAAATTACTCGATAAAACTGAAGCTGATGATGGCGCTCATTGTTGAGATGAAACTTTGCAATACCAGCGACTTATTTATAACCAAAACGAAAAATTTAATCATAAAGTTGTCTGTTGTAATTCTCAAAGTTTTAGAACCTTTTCCGAAGATAGTGACACCACGGAATATTATATTCTGATTATAAGTACATGCATGATTTTTTTTTTTTTTTTTTTTATTAGCTTTTAGTATAACTATTACAGCTCAACAATTATTTGAACGACATAACAAGATACAGTTCTATAGAATATAATATTAAAAAAAAAAATGTATAGATAAATGATTACAATGAAATAAAAAGTAAAGTAAATAAAGAAAATCATATTATGAAACCAGCTTAATAATATAATACACAAACATTAAAAATTTAATATAATATAAACATGCTGATCGCACGCACGGCAAAAACGGTTGGATTTTTTTTTTTTTTTATATTTAGAACTGCAGTAAAACTATTAAGCTCGACCATTAATTACAATAATAATATTAAAATTACATAATATATAGAATTTAGATCCACATAATTATGCTGACAATATTACAAGATAATTTTAAATATATAACGTGATGACAACAGTATAACATAACAAGATAAGATTGTTTGCAATATGACAATATGACAGTGCCAATAATAATCAAAGCTTTGCAGAGGATCACTGAAATGTTTATGCTTGAAAACTAATACATCATTCAATAATGAGATATTGATGTGTACATTTTAAATTACTGAGGTACATAGATAACACTTATGACGAACTCGATGAAATAATTTGGAAATTTGTCGGTACAAGTAAAATCGTGATATTTCCCCATAGTTGCAGTTTAGAAGGCTATGCAACATAAATTAGCAAAGTGTACCATACAAAATACATATTGAAATAATTCTTTAACGTTTTCCAATTTTCCAACTATTGTACACATAAATGATCACAATGAAATTTATAACTTTGACAAATGAATAATTGGTTTTAAAAAGGGCTTACAAACGTTATGATTATAACGTTATATTTGAAAAAAAAAAGATTGAAATTTGAAATTAAAAAACACAGAGTAAAATGAACGTACTCTAACCTAAGCTGAGAGATCTTCTACATTCGGAATCGTTTTTCGTTTACAATAATAACACAACATAAAAAATTAATTTAATTCAAACTTAACGCATCTTTTACAGTGACTCACTCTACATCCTCTAATTTACC